GGACCCGCCGGACCGTGTCCGTCCCCTCTGCAGGGGCTGTGCCCACTCGGTCACTGCTCGCACGCTGAGGTTGCTGTGGGGCTGCTCCGACTCTCTCGGTTCTCCCTTGTGAACTCAGACCCTGGAGCCTTTCAGTGCTGGACGCCTCCGGTTGTCTGGTGGAGATCGCTGCTTGTCTCAGTGAGAGTTGGTTGCAACTTGTACCTGAAAAGTTGTTAAGTAGTTACCTAAATGTGCGTTCCCAGCCTGACATCGTGTTTCAAAGAGTAAACATGATTTGGGGGCTGTATTCTCCGGGAAATTTTGAGTGGGAGAATGTGTTTGTAGCTTCTAGCGATGACAGAAGTTAGGATGTTTTGAAACTTGATACCAGTTGTGATGTTTTGAAATGCTTAGCAGGAAGCTCCATTTTATAGACACAGGGACACGTTTTACTTTCTTAGTAGATGTTTGGAAATATTGTCAATTTCACAACTTTCTTCCTGAAGTGTGAAGAGCAAACCAGCCGTTGTACCATGGCAAAGAGCTCCAGCCACGTTCTTCCATTCAGAGTTTTCCAGAGAATGCATCCCCAGAGTCACATTACCTCTTTTGGCCATTGTGTCAGGCCTGGAATGCATGTTCAGATGGTTACTTAGCAGTAACGTTCTCTGCTGTCACCCTGACTGATCTCCCGGGATGGGGTTTTACATTCTTTTCTGTAAGAATGGTGTGTGTTTGTGGCTCTCAAGAGAACACTAGCTCTGTACTTCATAACCATTTACCTGAATTCAGCAAACAATCCTGCTCATCATTTACCTTCTTCCATTTTCAGTTACCCATGAGCACTAACTGGTAGTGGTTTTGTTTATCTAGTTATAAACTAACTTTTTCAGTCCAGCTGTTCTTTTACCTTGTAACTCTGTTGAGTCCCTTGAGGGTAAAACGCTTTTGACCCTCCTCCACTGCACAGGGTCTGAGAACAGTTGCAGTCAATTTGCAGGCAACTGCAGGCATGCGGGAAAACAAGGACACTGTGGAGAAGGTGCTTTTGATTTTTATTTATTTATTTTTATGGTAAGGAGGGGATTTTTGTTGCTTTATATGTTGGTGGATTTCCATCCTGGTTGTACATAGAGTGCTGTGAGGCAGAGGTAGAGTGCACGTGTATGGAAGTGGCCGTGACACCTGACCCTCACATGAGCATATAGCAGGAAGAACAGACTTGGCTGTGGAGTGTGTGGCATACAGTCGTGTAGAAGGGCTGGTGGTGGTCTGACCTTTTTATTTCCGTAGAATCACATAAAAATCATTAGAGTTTTTATGACCCACCACTCTCAGTCACCTCTAGGGCTCATTTCACTAGTGTTAATACTGCTCCTGTCATGTGAGTCAAAGCCTCTCTTAAAACTCGTTATGTCATCAGTCTCTTTGCCTTGGTTCTATCTCAGGTTTACTAAGGTTGGACTCATTTATGGTTATGGTCTGGGGATTTTTTTGGTTTGTCAGAAGGACATGTTTGTCTCCTTTATGTGGTTTTTGGTACAGGTTGAAGTATATGTTAATGTTGCATTTGATTTGCTTCTCTTACAATCAGAGAGTTTTGTAGTAATAATTTCTAATATGAAGTCATATTTAATCTTGATGTGCCTTCTGTTGCGTTTTTACTTACAAAATAATTTTGTGACTGGTAACTTTTAATTTGTGGAGAGTGTTGGTATTCACACAATTGTGCACTGTTTTGTAATTCTAGAGACTAGTGAATAAATGTGTCCTTGGAAGCTTATTTGTTTCAAAGCATTTTTTTCTTAATACTTATCACAGAATCATACAATCATTAGGGTTGGAGGAGACATCTAAGATCATCAAGTCCAACCATTAACCTGCCATTCTGTTGTAACCACTAAACCCTAAACCATATCCTCCATCATCAGGTCCAGATGCCTCTTAAACACTTCCAGGGTGGAGACTCCACCGTCTCCCTGGGCAATCTATTCCAGTGCCTGAACACCCTAACAGTGAAAAAAATTTCGCAAACTTCTGTGGCTTTTATTCTCTAACATGTCACCTTTTGCCCGTTAATTTAAATTTGTCATCCTTGTACTTTAGTAGCTTTTTAGAGCTGACTGGTTGGATTTTGGGTAACAAGGCTACATAGAGGATGAAATCTTAGCAGATATTTCTTTGAGAATTTTATTTGGATATTTTTGCAAGAGACAAATGATGAAGTGATAAACTGGAGAAGAGAATTTTGAAGCAATGTTGATTTTTATTGCAGAGTTAACCTGTTCCTTGTTTTCATTCCTGGTCAGAGAAATAGCCTAAGTTAGCTTAGGTCTTGCAAAGAGGTCCTGTTTGGCAAATCTATGATTTTTTTTAAGCTGCTTTTTAATATGCACATCAATTGCAGCTTTATTATTTTTAGTGAAATACTTTGAAGCAGAAAACTGTTGGAACATTTTAGTTCTTTTTATTATTGTCTAATTATTTAATACACAGGAACCCTCCAAATGTTTTATTGTTTTTGTGATAACTTTCTTTCTTTTCCTTTAGTATTCAACATGTGTATGGAGCTCAGCATCCACCTTTTGATCCATTGTTACACGGAACGTAAGTTAATCTGATATTTAAATATTCCACTTATTTTAGATCTTCTCTGTCTTCTCTTTTTCCTTCCTGTTGGCTGTAAAGTTTATTGTTAATCTTCCTTTTTCACTTTTTCCCCGTAATTTTGACTTCTCTGTTCTGACTTCTCTTTTGTAACTTCCTGATGCTTACCATGTTGGGAACAACAAATCAGCTCTTCAGTTCTTAACTAATGTCAATTGCCAGCTTTTATTGTTTGTAATGCCTTGTACATGGGAAATTGAGATAAGGGCAAGAAAAAAGTATTATAAAGACAAGTATTGGTTTGGAAGGCTGTGCTTCTAGTAGATTTTTTTCAAGGGCTGGTTTGAAATGGTGCAAGAATTAACATTCTAGTGACTTTTCAGATGATACAGAGTTGAAGGCAGTTGAAATGTGTGATCTTGAGGGCTGAAGTAAAAGAAATAGGATTGGTTGGCTCAAAAGACGGAGTTATAAAGAGGGACTCTGTAACAAAAACTAGAAGCTTATTGCTTGGGTGACAAAGAGGAGAAAGACTTTGCTCTTTAGACAGTGATGACAACTTGGGTGAAAGTGTAAGTGTTGTAGCACCTGTTAGAGAAGATACTCCCTGTAACATATAGCAGCAAAGTTACTGATATTGTATGAGGACTGTGTGAGAACTTTTTCTGATTTTCAATTCTGGCTACATTGTCTTAACAGACAAAAGGTAAACCAGCACAGGTGAATGGTCAGGGATGGTCAGAAACATACTCAAGAACCATTTGGATGCAGTCCTGTGCCATGTGCTCTAGGAATGACTTTGAGCAGGGAACTTGGGCCAGATGACCTACTGTAGTCCCTTCTGACCTTACCCATTCTGTGAAAGCACAGTCAAGTTCGTGGCAGTAACTTCTCTATTTTTTGAGACGGTTTCTCAATCTGCTCTCAACTTTATCCCTTATTCAGCTCAGTTCTGAAGGGAGATGTGATTGCATTCTGGAAGTGAGAACAAGTGCCAGACTAGGGAGGGATAATTGGTTCATATCTCACACTGCACGTTGACAGAGGGGCAAAAGGTTGGGAGCTGATCAGGGTCCACTTAGACCAGTAACTAGAAGAAATATCCTGCCTGTGAGAAGAGCAAAGTTCTGAGTCCTGTGCCAGCATTCCTGGATGGGGAGGAATGATAGATTTAATGAGTCTTAAGATGAGACTTGATTTGTTTATGACAGTGATTGTATTGCATGATTGCTTGTGATGACTTAGGAGTAGACCATGACTTGATTATTGCTCCTGTGCTGTTATACAGTAGTTGCACTGAAAGATTATTGTATAACTGCTGTTATACAGTAGTTGCACTGAAAGGGCTGGAATCTCTCTACAGAGATTTATGAAGCAAGAGCAGTGCAATGTGTCCTGTCTATATTATAAACTATTCTAGTAGTAATCCTTTTATTTGACTTTGGTGTCGGTTTGGTTTTGTTTGTTTTTGTTTTATTTTTGTAACACAAGGGAAGGAAGGAATTGTTCAGGTTCTGTTCAAAGTGAAGAAGAGTGAGTTTTTACAGCCCTTGTTCTCAGACTTCTGCAGCTGTATGCTGTCATGGGTGGATGTAGCAGTAATGTGAGTGGAGGGAGATAAATATTTGCTACTTGTATAGTGTCAAGTATGAACTTTTGGGTTTTGTTACTATCTACAGCGTTATGCTTCATTACTAGTTTTCTAAATATTGTTTATTTGGTTTTGAACAGCTTGATAAAATCAGGTTCAAAGCCACCTACCACTCCAGTGAAACTCAAGAAAGTCAGCACCTTCCAAGAATTTGAAAGTAACACAAGTGATGCTTGGGACCTTGGGGATGATGATGATGAACTCTTAGCAATAGCTGCCGAAAACTTAAATACAGAAGTGGTCATGGAAACAGCTCACAAAGTAATTGAGAATCACAGCAAGCTACAAGAACAGCATAAATTTCAAGAACATCTACAGGAAGAAAAACAGGAAGAGGAATCTGCTCAGCTGACTTCAGTTGCATGTGGCGATAATAGGCTTGTTAAATCAGTCAGTGAAGGTCATACATCGCGTTCAGC